ATTATTTGAAGTTATTTGGTTTCAATAACATACGTTTAGTTAGATTTGTACCTATTACTTGTTAGGTTAGGATTTTTCAATTAACATTTAGTAAGATCCTTTTATACTACAATGTTAGTTTAGGTTTACCATGTGTCTTTGTAATTTTTGGATTACCTGTCATTCATCTTACTTATTGTTTCTTCAACAAATACCATCTACTATTTGTTTTATTGTCAATATACAATTACTTAATTTTACAATATAACGACATTTTCATTTTCATAATTATATATTGTACTTCTTTCAATTAATTTCGTTTTTGAGAACCCTTGGCCCGGGGTTTGACCAACCTTCTCCCACTATTGCTCTCCTTCTTCCTCAAACTGCAGAACTCGTTTGGGATGATGTCTATTTCAACAATTTTTCCTCCACCTGATTATGAATTGGCCTTCCCAGGCCTCTACTGTGAAGTCTGCTAGTCCGACCTTAGCCCTTTTTATACACATTTCACAGTTGTTGTTGGGTTTCTTTTCCCCCTCATTCTCGACACATTTTATTTTTCGTTCATGCTGGGCCTTTTTGTATCTCTCTTGTGAGATGATGCTTTGGCTTACCATTAGGCAGATTGTTTTTTGTTTTCTTGCTTCTCTGCACTTCAATTATCTGTTGCCGTATTGGAGGCAGAATCTGTTAATCCTATCCATTTTTCCCTAGCCAAGTTTTTCCAGCCTTTGTTTTTCCCTATCACCTATCCTCTGAGGTGTTCCATCTATTTCTTGGGGATTATCATGGGATACCTTCCTCCTTCTTACCTCCATGTTGGGGCAGTTGCCATCTTCGGCTCTTTCCTAAAAACATGGCTTCTTTGCTTTTGGGATCTTCTTGGGTGTGACACTGTCTTGCACCAAGTTTGTTTCACTTCCACTTCTAATTGGGACTTACGGACGGCTTTTTTCCTCCACTGGTATGTTTTTTGAGGGGGCTCTACTCTTGTGTCTTTAGCATCACCTCAGGTATCTGTATTGCTACATTCGATTTTTTTTTTTTTTTTTTTTTTCTTTTTTTTCTTTGGGGGTTTTTTTTTTTTTTTTTTTTTTTTGTATTGCTCTGTTGTCTCTGTGGCTATTGTATTCTTTATTCTTGTTGCATGTTTGGCTCTTTCCCGTGATTTACCTGTCCTACATCTAAGTGTTCTTCCATTAGTCATGGATTCTCAATGCAGATTGAGGTTCTGTGATTGATCTGTCCAACTTTTTCACTTCTTGGTTTTTCTCTTTTTCCTATATTGTCTTTTATCACACTATGGTGGGCCTTTTTTCCAGGACTGAGGATGCCCACAGTTGATATTTTGTTTTCTTATGCCCACATTCCTATTTTTCATCCGTCATGGCACTGTCTTCAGATTGTTCACTATGGGGTTGGGTACTAGTTTTGTGTCTTGCCCTCGAGCTTGTTTCCGATCTATATGTCTTTGTCTCCAGTTGCTCATCCACTTGCCTTGGTTGTTGATGTGTTCAGACAGGATTGAGACCTATTTGTACAATTATTTTCTCATTCCAATCGTCATCTTCCCTGGGTGATTTCATTCATCCTTGCCACTCTGTATCAGGTCTTTTTGATTGCTCCTTCCTGGCCAACACAGATCTGTTTTTTTTCAGCTGTTTCAGCTCGATCTGTCTTTTTCGTTCTGGATTGATTTTTCCTACTTTCCACTTTGTCAGCTCGTGGGGCAAGTTCTTCCTTTTCATTTCCTTCTATCTCCCACCTTTTAATCCTAGTTGAATCTGGTTGGCCTTCCATGTCCTGTACCTGCTCTGGATTGCTTTATTGCCTTCAAGGCTTCTTTCCATTGGTTCATTTCCTGCTGTTTCATTCTCTGGCACCACCACTCTGTTTGTGACTTTTCCTTCCTCCCTTGCCCTTTGGATTTGGCTTTTGATTCAATTGGCCTTTTCTTTCTTGTCTCCTTTTCCCCCTTATATTAATTCCTGATGTCTTCACTCTGATTAGCTACCTTCCTTTTTACCTGCATCTCACCGTCATCGTACATTGGAGGTACTTCTTCCATCGAGCACTGGGACCAAACCTTGTATGTTTATTTCCCGTTATCTGTTTCGGGTAGCTGTTTCTTCCTTGACGGGGTACAGTCTTCCACCTCTTGTCATCCTTCACTCTTTGGTGAGACTGTGGCTCGGTAAGATACCTTTTTGATATATATATATATATATATATATGTGTGTGTGTGTGTGTGTATATATATATATATATATATATATATATATATATATATATATACTATATTAGTTACTTGTAGGTAGTTTTCTTTTTTTTTTTTTTCTTTTT